ATCGTTCCTGTGCTTGAGAAAACCTTAGACAGTTCAGGCCAACCCCTCCCCGTGCTCAAGAAAGAAAATCGCCACCTTGAGGAGGAGAACCAAGGCTAAAGGCTGAAAACCGCGAGCTCCTCGAGGTGCGCCACGAGTTGGCTGGCCAACTCAAGAAAAACGAGCACCGACATGAGAATGAGTTGAAGGCCAACGACCAGGCGCTCGGGCTCGAAAGGTCCGGTCGAATAAAAGAAGTCAAAACTGCTGCCATCGCTGCGATAGAGAAATCTCGAAAAGTTATTTGGAAGTCTTACGTCGGCCAAACATTTTTTAAGGCTTATCAAGAGCAGCTAATCAGGGACTATCTCTGTTCAACTGCGTTCTTGAAAGAAGCTTCGAGCATGGTGCTCGACTTCTATACTTATAGTGTGTGGGAAGCTGATCGACAGATGAAGGCCCAGGGCTTCACCGGCATGCTCGACCTTGACGCCATTTGGGATGCTATCCCTGTTGTGCTGACTAAGTTCACGGGAGATGCTACTCTTCCGGCTGAGCACCCATGGTGGTCAGACTCTTTGGAGCGAGTGTTGGCGGGTGATAACCTGCTAATGGTCGTTTCGACCTACCGAAACCAGGCGAACCGTCGATATTACGCCAACATATGTACAAATGCACTTTTGGGCCTTTGATATTGCACTTTAGCGTGGCATATGTACAGATCGAAATTACTTGGAATATTTTTTTTACAGTTTATATAGGTCGGTTCAATTATTGTTTTTTTTTTTAATTTTAAAATTTCGATTATTCGGGCTTGACGTCGACTTTATTTAATTTTAAAATAATCAATCGACCAAATTATATAAAAAATATTATATTATTTATATATATGTTACGAATTTTCAACCAAAAATAATATAAAATATTAAATAGGAGTATGAAAATAGTAAATTTATTTTTATAATGTAAATTATACATTATTTTGTAAATTTAGATTAATACGTTTATCTGATTGAATAAATGATTATTTCAGTTATGTTTAGTTTGAGTTCGGACAAGTCATTAAAAAAAAATGTACTGCTACTACACAAAAGTGTTAGTCGAATTGCACATTCACGGCTACCAAGTTGCACAATAATGTTAGACGAGTTGCACATAATGACCTAAACCCAATGAGCTAAAGACTTCATTTCCAAATCTTATATTCTGGTTCGATTATCTATTTTTATTTGTAAAATATTAATTATGACAGTTAAATATCGACATTATTTTTTATGGTATATCGGTTAATTGATCGAATACACTGATTATTTAAATTCAATTTTAATTTTTTAAAACAAATTATTAAAAATATATGCGATATAAGTGCACCATAGTGTTAGATGAATTGCACCATAGTGTTATATGAATTACACATTAATGACTGTTGAATTGCACTTAATTTATTGAAGTTATTTTTATTTTATTTTGTGTTTGAAACTTTACATTCCATTTCGATAAATTGTTTTTTACTTCTAAGATCACAGATATTTCAGTTCGAGGTCGGCAATATTTTATCAAGTAACTGGAAGAAAAAAACTACTGAACTACATGAAAATAATATATATTGTAATTATATGTACTGCATCTGCACAATATTGTTATACAAATTGCACGTCAATGCCTATTTGATTGCACTATTCGTCGAAACCGAACGAACTAGAATTTTCGGTTCGAACTTTTATATTTTTGTTCAATTATAGTTTATTTACTTTTAAAATATCGATTCTAATGTGCATTTATCAAAAAATAATTTACATTTTCTTTGTTCTTATTGTGTATTTAATATATTTTTAATAAATTATAGATTTGACCATGTACTAAATTAAAATTTAATAAAACACCCTAGAATTGCAATTGAGTTACTTACATCTATCAAATCTCAAATACTTGCCCCCAAAATCTTGAGCAATTTATGTACAATTCGTCACCATTTACCATCATCACGTGAATCACTTTATTCTCTCACTGAGAAGGTCGGGTTGGCAATGGTCGGTCGTCACGTACGCTTGTATTCCAGCGACGACGACGACGGAGATCTTCACGCATCCGCGACCATCTAGAAGACGTCCGGTAGATCGAAGGTGGATTGAGCGGCCATGAAGCGGCGATGTTCTGCCAAGAGCCCTTGCCTTGAAGCATAACCGTACGTGACTGGCATGAAGCTTCGGGTTGTGGTTGACGACGGACGTCTCTGACGGCCATTACGCTTGCAACGGGCGACAGAGGTGGTTCTTCTGGTGGAGGTTATCTCCTTGGCTGACGAAGATCTCTAGGTGAAAGACGACGAATGGGAGGCGGCGGGTTGGTGGTGGTGTCTTGTTGTCGGACGTGTGTGTGTGTGTACGTGCGACGGGTGTGTGCTGAGTGTAATGTATGTCTATGTGTGAGAAAGATGTGATGGGGTGGGGTTCACCAAAGTTGTTTATTAATTTCCATTATACCCTTAATAATTGATCAATTAAACATATTAAACCATTATATGTTCAAATATTTTACCATAATGCCATTACATGTTTGACTATATTATTAAAGCTTGACTTATCATGACCACACATTTGTTAGATTTAAAGGCTTGCATTCTTTTTTATTTCTTTCATTATCCCTCTTTCTCATATGATCCATTATGTATATACCCCTATATATTAATTCAGAAAGTGCTGAGCCTATATGGCAGACTCGCATACTTTGAGATCCTATGTGACAAAATTACATGCTTCGTTGTTATGTTTGGGTAGATTTTAATTTTACATCCAATCCAAAAATAATTAGGTCCGGATTATCCATAAATATTTTGATTATTTACGGTCACGTTAAATGTATTAATTGTATTTTAATATATTTTTTATTATAACAATTGAAAAAATTTAATAACTTTTGTATTTTTATTAGTTTTACATATATAATATATAAAATTAATCATCTCTTGATAAGCTTCGATTTAGCACCTATATTGCATGTATAAAAAAAATTATTTTTATCTTTATAACAATAATAAAATAGTTTTTTAATACTAATTAGAAAAATAATATCAGTTAATATATTTATATTTCAAGTAGTTATAAGATATAAGTTATAAAAATTAATATAATATAACACATATAAGTCGCACAAGTAACACGTGTCATTCTAAAATATATAATAGTATATATTTTTTGCAAAAAAGAAAATAAAATTTAAAATAATTTTCTCATTAATTTTAAAATTGAACAATAATTTTTTAACAAACACCCGTGTAATACACATGTGTTGTACTAGTATATATATTATTCGCGGTTGTTGTGGTTTTGCTAATAAAATATTTTTAAAGTATATATACATTATCTTTTATGATTTGATTGGTTCACAGGCCTAAAATATTGTAATTAGGCCTAAAATGGAATCCAACAATGTGACCCAACCATTGTAGGCCCAACTATTTTTTTTTTTTTAATCAAATTACCGGAAGCCCAACTTCATGAACCAGCACATATGATAGATTTCGTTTTTAGAAATACGAATTGACGAAGCTCACAGTCACACGGTCACACCTACTTCAGAAAAACAGCATCCACAACTGAGCAGTTCCGCCGCCAGCCGCCATTGGCCGTCGCGTAAACTCACTAACCGGTAAAACTTTGTGGTTTTCGTATTTAATTGTTGGTTATACATATGTAGATAACTTTAAGAATTGCCGTAAAAGACGGAACGGAGACAAGAATTGCTAACAGCCGTCGCCTCGCCCGGCCGGCTTTCGGGCTGATAGGTTATATACTAATTCAAAGCCCTCGTTCCTAGGATCATGTCAGTAGTTTTGGATTTGAATTTGGGTGAGTACTGAGTAGTGTCTGTATGCGTGAGGTGTGCGTGCGGGCTGTGTGTGTGCCTGGGATTGAAATGATAATAGTTGAAAGTCACGATTGGCTTTCTATATTTTGATAATGTTTTGCCGCCTGACTTGTACAATATATCTAGCTGTGCAATCTCTGTCCGGTTTTATGCTGTTCTGACCCTGGTAATTTAGCCGTTTATTTTGCGTGTCTTCGTGTAAGTTGTAGCTCAGTGTTTTGGCTTTCCGTGGGCGCAAGAATCAATAGAATGATCTAATGTCTTGTAAAAGTAATGTTCATTATACACTGACTAATAAGCATAATTGACTGACCAATTTTTCAGGTGTACTGCTGTTCGGGTGGAGCTCATTTTCACCTTTTAACATGCTTGTTCGTGCTTTAAGTTACATAAGATCTTAAGATATGTGTCTTGCAATTATATTGGAGCAAGAATCACTTCAAAACTTAATTTTTGATTGAAATTATGTTAACAATATGAAACTCTGTGTGTGACTGTTAGCTGTCAGATATTGCAGCAGCAAGGTTGTTCCCTGTTGCCTTGTTTTCACCCTTGTAGCACACTAGTTGATCCTCAGAGTATTCATAAGAGTCGTGGTTCTGTGACCTCTTTTCATACTTCCAAGAATAGGTTCAAATCTCTGTTCCGGAAAAATTTGGGTGCCAAACCACCTCGCCTGCACTTTTGCTTCCATGCATCATATATCGTCCGTTCCAGTCTTCTATTCTCGAGAATTGAAAATATATTTAACCTTAACATTTCAGTTATGCCACAGTTACTAGTTGGCTTAACTATCTAAAATATGTTATAGAATTATTCATCCTATAATACTTAATTGTATTATAAGTGATGTATAATTAGTATCAATTTTATAATCTTATGTAGGAGGGAAGCCTGAATCTGTTTGTACTTAGGGTTTGCGTACCACATTTTAGTTTTAGGTGGGAAACATTATTAAATTTACTATAATTACATCTTCTAAGAAAATTATGATATTATTTCATGAAGCATGCATTTTAAATCTTCAGTGGTCTTCTTATTATATAATTTAGATTTCTGAAATTGTATTTTATATGAGGATTTGATCTTGGACTTACAATATGAATTCCATGCCTTATATGTGATTGATATGTGGCTCGTAGAGTGGGAGAGATATGGGAGCTAAGGATTCAATCAAGAAGCATAAAAGATCGAAAAAAGCCGAGAAGGAGGAAGTTGACTTCGAGATTGTGAGTTCAAAGCTTGCACAAAGAGGTAGTAGTTAAGTATGTGCAAATAAAGAAATATTATGCCAGTAAATTGCTACTGCAATTACTTTGGAGGCAACAGTTGTGTTTGAAATTGTTTGGTGCACATTAAACTTAGATTAAACTAGGTTTTTGCATTTGGTACCAATGAAAGCTGGTAAATTACATTTCATTTCTTATCCTTTTATGTTTGTTTTCCTTTCTCTTCCTTATTGCGCAGCTTGGCGGGGCTCTTTCAGGTGATCATTTGTAATAAATAAAGTGTTTTGTTATGCAGACGAAAACTTAGCTAATGGGAAAGGTACTCTGAGCACCAGTCATAACAGGAAAAAGAAGAAGACATCTTTGGTGGATAAGTCCAGCAATGTTGATATCGGTAAGTTTGGATTACATAATATCCTAGCTTCAACTAGGGCTGCACAAAATATGGTTAACCGACCGAAATTGAATTTTCGGTTTGACCGAAACCGAAACCGAAAATTTGGTTCGGTTTTCGGTTTATATTTTTTAAATATTTCAGTTTTCAGTTCGGTTTGTATATAATCTATTGGTTAACTAAACCGAACCGAAAACCGATATTATACATATATGTTATAAAAGGCCCAGTATAATGAATTAATGATACCCAAGTCCCACACCACAGCCCACAGCCACCCACAGCCCAAATGGCAAATGCAATCCCACCCAGCCCATAGTCACTCTACTCATCCGTCAAATTAGGCCCATATGATATCTATTACTCATTTTATTTTGCTCAGTTAATCTCTCCCACAACTCCCACAGAGTACAGGCACCGTTCGCTGTCCCACTCCCAGTCCCAAAGTTCGAAGAAGCTAGAAACCAAAAACCAGAAACCCTACCTCCTTGGCTCCACCCATCCGCCGCTCGCCCCGCTCCCGGACACCACACACTCCACTCACTCGGCAGGCCGACACTCGACGCGACCTCGTTTTCTCAAATCTCAGATGAGTTCTACTCCGAAATCTCCTCGTACGGACTGCAATTCATGTTCGTGATTTTCAAATTTTCAAGACTTTGAAGCCTTCTTTTAATTCGTGATTACTTTGTTTCGATTGAACTAATTTGTTGAATTTCGATTGAACCAAAATTTTTAGTCTGAGCTGAATTTCGGTAACTCAATAATTGTATGTTTTATTTTTGTCATTTCTATATTTTATCGGATAACCGATAACCGAACCGAAAAAACTGTTGGATTTTCGGTTTGAAACCGAACCGAACCGTAGTTTTCGGTTCGGTTTTCGGTTTAAATACTGGACAAACCGAATTTTCGGTTGGTTCGGTTTTGACCGAACGTGCAGCCCTAGCTTCAAGTAACATACCTTGGATATTTTATTAGTGTGTACTTAAAATTTTTAGAGCTGAGTCTGACTTAATCATGTTTACCAGCTTATGAAACACACAGAATCAGTGGTGGAATCAGAAAGAATAAAAAGTGGAAAAATAGCAAACTGAAAAATGGCAAGATAACTGTAGTAAATACCCCGGTTAGTAACGAAGTTGAAAGCAAGGATGCTGAAAGCCAACATAAAGTAGATAAATTGCAGAAAGCAAAGAAGAAAAAAAGAAAAAATGACCGAAGTATCAAGAAGGTTGGCGAATATACGGAGAAGGATGATGCTTCTGAACAAACAAATGGTATGCACTAGAAGATGCTCTTTTTTTCACGTTCTTTATGCGAAATAACCAAAATATATTGGTAGTGTATATATTCCAGTTCAAGAAATACTAGCGTCAACATTCTGTCATTTCATGATATATGCCTACTGTAAATTCCTTGTCTCTTTCAGTTAATGACTGCAATTTTACGTGACATTTGGTTTTCTGTAATATTTGCAAAGGATCCTCTTCATTTTTATTGGGCGGATGGAGAATGATGTGTCTCGTGTTCTTTATTGTGTTTTTGTAAAAAATTGCATTGGCTAGGAGTCTGCATGGCTGTCGGTTGGGTTTCAAACTATGTTTGCTCCTATGTAATCTATATACCTCAATACAGGTGGTGATGATATGTCAAAAGTCAGTTTTTGCCCATTTTTGGATTTTTGATTAAATTGTTCTTATGCTGCAGAGTCTGAACATGAAGATCTTATTTCAAACACTGAAGTACCTAAGAATGCTGTTACAACTTCCAAAACTGGTAATATCTGATTGGAGAATGTTCAATCTTTTATTAAATGTGCTTTATTTTTTCTGACTTATTTTTCAACATTTGTACTGGAGAAACTAAAATTTGGACTACTTGTTTTATAGGTGAGTCCAAAAACCCTGGAAAAACAAAAAAGAAGAATCAGAGAGTGAGAGGTGAATCAGCCTCGGATAATTTGTTGGAAACTAGAGGACAAGATGATCATGATGAAGTTTATCAAATGTCCTCGGGTGACGAAGATTGCTCAAAAGGAATGAAAAGTATGACCCTGCTTACAGTAATAGCTTTCTTGTTTTTCTGTAATTCTTTTAGTGCTTGCGACCTGGTCATATTCTTCATGTTAGGTGAAATGTTGGGATGGTCTTTCTCTATCTGTTTGTGTGTTCTCGGCTTATGGGAGTATGCTGGTCAATCTAGAATTTTCAATATAAATATTGGTTCATTTTCATTCTACGCGTGAAGAGGAAATTGTCAAACTTTCTCAAAGTAGGTTAATTCTCCACTTGTTTTGTTGTTATAGCATCATTTTGTTGTGTGTAAATATTGTTATGGACCGAGTTCGGCCAATTTTTATAAGACGTTGGACTTTATAAATCATCATGTAGCCTGTAAAGTAAATAATCTTGAATGTAGGGATTACATATTGAAAGTTTAGTACGTCTAGTGAAGGTAATCTAGTTGTTAGCTTAGGTGAGAGAAACAATGGAATATTAGGTCGAACTATCCTCCTTGTATGTTTAATTAAAAAATTTTGGTACTTAGTTCTAAAGCTAATTTGAGGAGAGTAGACAATATTATCTTTGACAGCATTGGAACTTCATGTGTTCAGAGTGGATCACTCAATACCATCAGAGTAGACCTGGGATCAAGGTGCTGCAGGAAAGGATTGATAACTTCATAATGGACCATGAAGCTGAGGAGGAAAAGGTAATATATTTGGTTTTGAAATATGCCACAGCTCATTAAACCCTTGATCAATTAGAAAAAAACCTTTGATGATGGTAAACTTGTAATCTGTAGCTGAAGATTTTCATATAAATTGGTCGTGTGTGAGTTCTATTATTTGGAATTTGGGAAAAACTTAATTTTAGGTCCTTAGAGCTAAAGGAAAGCCATCTTATGGCATTCCATGACTACATAAGAAAATTGTTCTTTCTAGTTTGTCAACTTTCATATTTTCCAATTTTATCTCAATGCAGGCAAGAGTGGAGAGAGAAGCTCAGGCAGCAGAAGGTGGCTGGACGGTTGTTGTGCATCACAAAGGCCGGAAAAAGACGACCGATGCTGAAAGTGGAGTTGCTGTGGGTTCTGTTGCCCAAGCTGCCGTTGTGGACAAGGCAGCGAAGAAGAAAACCAAAGAAGTAGGTATAGATTTCTATCGATTTCAGAAAAGGGAAGCTCACAGAAATGGTACGTGCCTCGTTGCAAAGTTATTCGTAAAACTTGATGGACATGCTTGATTTTTTGGTCTTTTGTTGCAATGTTTTTCTTCCTGCTTGAGTTTGGTTTATTTCGTACTAAGATATGATTGAATTTGGTGTATGCAGAGATCATGATGCTGCAAAGCAAATTCGAACAGGATAAAAAACGGATACAACAAATGAGAGCTGCTAGGAAATTTCGTCCCTATTAAGTGGAGTTCTAGATGTTACCGGTACACTATTTTTCTGTTCATCCAAGTTGAACTTGGATCTTTCTTTCCGTGCGAGCACCATAACTAACTTAGCTCCCCATTCGAAGGACAGCTGCTCAACTTCAATTCCAGTTTGTCTGTTCACATTTTAATATTTCGCTCAAAGTTCGTTTATAGAACACATGAGAGGACCAAGATCAGACGTAGATGTAAAACTTTGTACTTCCACAAGTGTGGGGCAATTACATTTCCTGTTGACCAATTTTGCGTCTCATTTCGGGCGAATAGAACTCGTGATTATGAATTAATGTCATTGGTTTAGTATTAACTGATTCAATTTTTATGTGAAGAAATATTTGGTTGAATTAAAATTTAATGAATGTTGCTTAGTTGATTGTATTGTACTGCCTTTAGGAGAGGGGAATCATCTAACAATAGATGAAAAGTGGTCATAGTTTTTCATTTAAAATTGTCAACTCGTTTGAAGAAGCAAACACTACTGCAGCATGGACGAGACAATTTACATCAACTTAACACGCTGAAACAAAATCTCTTGATGGGCAGAAGAAGCTTTTTTTCCATTAACTGTGTGGATAACTCATGGGACTTGTTAAACATAGATAAAATTTTAGGATATTCATTAAAATCTAATCTTATTTTCTATAATGTTCAATTTTTTTTTTTTTTTAAAGGAGTATATAAAAAAATAAAATTGGAATTCTAAAGTATGAACCATCAGAACCAGTTACACATGCCAATCCCCATATATATATAAAAATTTGAAATTGGATAAAAAAAAAAAAAATTAGAAGATAAACTGTAAGAGCATGCTTGGATATAAATTTGTTTTTGTTTTGATTTGGGTTGGTTAAATTTAAAAAAGTAAATATGGTTAGTTGTTAGTGGATATAATAAAATAATATTTAAAATAAAATAATTAAAATTAAATTGATGTAAAAGTAAGAGAGAGAGAAAATGTGATGTGATAGTTAGTTAAATTTATGTGAGTAGATGAATAGTGAATTAAGATTGATGTTGTGTGTAAGAATGATTGATTTATATTATTTAATTATATTGATAATATTGATGATAGTGGGTTGAGTTAAAATTGAGTTAAAAAAGTGGTTGAGTTAAAAATGTTTGGATTTTTTTGAGAAATTTTTGTATCCATTCATGCAGGGATTCTCATAATCCTAAACTTCCTTTTTATTATGTGTACGTTAAAAGAAAAACGAGTTGGTCTCAAATTAACATTGGAATTTTTAAATCTCGACAATCGGAAACGTATATTTATGAAACAACGAGTATATCCAAATATATTGTTGGATTCGAAAATCCCAACAATTTTAAATTATTAAACATCTGAAATGATAAGTTTTAACATATCGGATTTAAAAAAATAAGGACATCAAAATAATAAGGATGCTCAAATTCCTACATTTATTTTTACTATTTAAAAAAACATATATTTAAGAAATGATATGATATGATTTCCACCAAAATCAGTGAAAAAAATCAAATAAAGTAATAGCTTATAATCATGTAAATTAACATTTTAGATATTACGAAAATATGTGCAAATATATGCACTAAAAACTTATCTATAAATAACCTCACATCTACAATCAAATAATTTGCAGTACAAAAAAAAAAA